CTCTAACAACACTCGGCAATTTTGATGATTTGAGCCACATTTTTTACTCATTCTCATTATGCTTAACTTAATTTAGGTCAGGTGATGGACAATATTATATGTCTAGTGTGCTTTGCTTTCAATTTTATGTTTGTACTTAAATGCATACTCCTAAGGGACTGTTTTTTCTACTTACATGCAACACTATCCTCTTGCTTTGATCTTAAAGATACTTCGATATCTGACATTTTAAATGCCATATGTAGTAGTCGGCCTACTTCCTCCAATTCCCTAACTGACCTGCTCGCTTTGATATGCATCGTCGCTCTTACGCAGTCATTGCGTTAGGCTTTCGGACCTGACCCAGCTGCCTCATAATTTTTGAGGAGTTTCTTTTCTCGAATCCTGAATTCCTTATATACCCCGCATAACTCGAAGCACCGATACCGATATTAACTTTATTCTTGGCATAGCATTTTCAAGGAAATAACGTTGTCCACGTACTTTTGGGAAACTAGATTTTATTTGTTATTCCATAAGCCATTATTAAAGGGTTATTGTCTATTTAAGATCGTGCGTTCTCAGGCACGGAAACTACGTGTACCACGAGCCTTGTTCTCTTTAAATTCTTCTCATGATTTATTTTTCTGACTTTCATTTTGACCACTTTTCTCTGTTTTCTCGAACTAGGCAGTGGGATCCTGTTGGTGGCCTGGAATCTTTCACTGTTGAGCGAATTTCCAAGGCGCAAGCTTGGCAACGTGCAGGGCGAGCTGGCCGGGAATCTGCCGGAGTTTGTTTGCGCCTTTACACTGATGCGCAATATAAATCGATGTCGATGTACCCGCAGCCTGAGCTTTTACGCGTAGATCTTGCCAGTGTACTCCTAAATCTAGCCGCTATCGGCATTGAAGTGAGTGATTTCTTCATAATTTGTACTATTTTCTTACTCCGGCATATTCACTGACCTCTATCTTACTACGCCAAATTTTACTCTTTTATTTACTATCTGAGATTTTTATCTTTTATCTATTAAATGGCTTAGGGCAACACCAATGCGAGGATATTTACTGTTTATTTTTTTCAATTTGGAACGACTAATAGCCTTTCATCTAACTGAAAATTCTTGAATTAGCGCTGACTAAAATAAATGAAGTACATGTAAATGGAAGTCGGAGAATTTCACTTGTGATGATATTCTCATCCGGAATGGACTGCATTTTCGACCTCTCACAGGCCCCATCATCAACCCATCATAGATGATAATAAATTTTATGAATCAAATATATGAAGACCAAGATGTTGTGGCCTCTGGTGTGGTCGCAGTCTCCAAGACAAGACCAAGTTGCAACAACGAGGTGAACCCACTTTTATGAATCAAGGTTAAGTGAAATCATCCGGTATTCTGAGATCTACTCATATCAGCCTTGGTAAATTTAACAATCATCCTTTCAATACCTGTGACCAAGGGTGACTAAAGCTCTCATTCCTGAGTTGTGATACGTTTGGCATAGAATTGATAGGGAATACAAGCGGTTTTCTACCATTCTTTGGGTTTGATATTTTTCTTATTTGGATAATGCGTTTCGTACTCTGATAAGTATCGAAAGGAGCTACATCCTTAGCGTATTTTAACTTCAGGGCAGTTTTATACCAATCTAATTAGTTAAGCCAATATTTAAGTTAATCTTTCATATAATATTTTTCGGCTTATTCTGATTTGGGTTTTCATGGTCTTCTGCTTATGTGTCTAGGGATCCCACTGATAGTATACAATAATTTACTATATTGACTTTATTGCTCACCTTGCTTGTTTAGACTACTGAGCCCATGGCAACAGAAGAAAGATCATCCACATTTTAGGGGTTTGTTATTAATGAGATATCATAAATGTGAAGAATGAAACACACAATAATATCTAGAAGTACTGGTTTTTTGTAGAGGAGAATGGATAACAGTGTTAATAGATGTGAAGAAACTGAAATTAAATGTTATTCTTTCATTTGTATATATATAAGAAAGATATTTCATAACCAATAATATCTCTTTTTGTCGTTAATAACAATTCTAGGAGCTCCTAATTGAAGAAGAATTATTAGTCTCTGAGTTATTAGCCTGGTTACAATGTAATTAAAGAACAGCTTGAACAACTATTTTTAGATAAGTTGATAATACTTTATGATGATAGCTAGTGATGCTTCTAGGACACTGGCATACTATAGTTTTATTTTAAACTTTCTTTTAAAAAATAATTACAAGCAATTGCTTGGCGTCGATTATTAGGAGTATGAGGCTATTGGGTATAGACACTTGGAATAAGGAGTTTGATATGCTTAAACAACGGTCCTTAATTCCTGTTTGGAAATTGTATCAATTTCATAACAAATTAAATTTCGTGAGAAGATTTGGCTTGGCTGATATCTAGGCCCTTGTGTTAAAGAGGACTGTTTTCCAATTCTCAAAAGTGTATCATTTCAAAAATACTCGTGGATATTGGGCACAATGTTCAGAAGTGGCTAAACACAGCAGCAACTGGACATGGGATATAATCACTTCATGTTTGTCTTTTCCTCTACTATATTGCGCCTGGTGATTAGCGCATAAGAAATCCACAGATTGAGGAAATGTTGATTATAGGTAATTAGGTTAAGAGGTTAAAACAGGACAACTTGATTAAGGGTGTCTAATGCTGCTAAACCATCTACACAAAGATGGCTACCCACGAACTCTCTTTAGCTCTGGTCCAAATTACCATCACGTCTACATATTATATTTCACACAGAAAGGTCATTAGCTAATTCCGAACTCTTTTCAAGATTATAACGCGATAATGATGCGGTTTCCTATCCTAAAGTTATTTTACTTTGATGTTCAAGAACGGATGTTACGCTTTATTCTAACAGCTCACAACGAGCACTTGTTCTTAGTACCCACAAACATATACACACATATTATTTTGGAAATTTTATTAACTACATCATTATATGTCTCCATAAATTAATGTATTGTGTATTTCTAATGCAGTAAAACAGGAAATAATGAACCCCTAAAATGTCTATAACATCTAGGTACCAAATTATCTGAAATAAAACATTTTGCGAAACGTAGTGTTGACTTGTTGGGAAGTAGTTTTCCTCGTTTTAAGTATAAGATAAAATTTGATACTGACCTATAAAAGGCATACATGAAGAGTAATTAGACTTAAATAAATCTTATGTCACATTAATTTTAAGCAGACCTTCATCTTGTGTGTTAGTAAGTGATGAACTTATTCGTATGTCCATCTCGCTAGAAGACGTCGCCTGAATCCTCTTTGTTCGCTCTTGTGCGATTTTATTAGGATCGAATATGAGATTCGAATAAGTCTAGATCGGACCTTCCGTGAATCCATATCCTTAATGCCCAAACTTTTCTGAAATTAAAACTTCATGTAAACTGGAATTCTGCCACATTCCAGTCGTTTATGCATTCCAATAGGATGCTATTTTAATTAGATTACTCCTTATCCGAGGCAACATTCTATCTTCAACACTTTCCCTCATAGATAAATCTTAATAAGATAAAATGTGGATATGAATTTGGAATGAAAACAATTATATTAGCGCTCTTCTTTCTAACAGATCGAGTACTATATTATCTCCAGAGGCTCACTTGCCTCATATTTCTATTTTTCCTATTAAGAATCATAATTTTCCTTTCTCTCCATAATGAATTATTCATTATTTTCTCTATTTATAGAATTTGCATTCCTTTCCATGGCTAAGCCAGCCCTGTTCTAGCTGCATCAGCTTTAGTCTCGATCTCCTTTCCAGGCTCGGCGCTCTTCGCCAGCTATCATCGGATGTTACGACCATATCATTGATACCAGAAAATGCCTCTTCACATTCTGGTCCCCAGGTGTCAGCAGCGCCATTACGATGCGGGCACAGTATTGACTTTACAGTGATCCCGACTCCAGTCAAGGTAGTCATTTCTAGTAATGTTATTTATGTAAAAGAGGGAAAGGAAAATCACTTAGCTTATTTTCCCTTAAAATATGTGTAATCATAATTAAGTGATGGCGGATTCTTCTTGACCAGCTTTACTGGAACATTTATGTTGACGCCGTTTCCGAGTTAATATCCTTCGATTCCGGTGATAATGTTCTAAGCTTTCTTCCATCACATGACGAGCATCATCAGAGCAAGGTATTATTCTTACGACCAAATTCAAGCTTAGTCAATGAAACTCACTGGCATATCCCTACATAGCTATATATATATATATATACTCTATATCTGGCCTCTTTGTTGAGGTACTGTGCGAAAGCTTAGCACGTTTTCACCGGAATCGAAGGAGATTACCTTGAAAACAGCTTCAACAGGAAAGTTCCAGTATATCCAATCGAGAGCTAACCAAGAAGAATCCTTTGTCGTCTTCTTATGGAATCGACCTTTGAATCTCTTCACCAAACACTCACTTGAAATAGAAGCTCAATAATTATGAAACAAGAGCTTCCTCAAAACCCAACTTTTCTTCACATATACTACGTATTTATGGTACGAATTCTTATTTTATTTCTTCTGGCTATACGAAAACCAAGAAATCTATATCCCGGAAAGTCAATACTATTAGATTTTTAAAAATGTGTATTTCACATAATGTAATATCTAGATGTATTCTTGGTAGGCATATAGATTTATCTATTTACATTAATAAGAAATAGTAGCAGGTATCAAGTGGTTTGATTAAGACTAGACTAAAAGAAAGTATAGACAATTTACATGACCTGAACCAAAAAAACGACTAGGCAATTCCTTTCTCTGCTGTTTTCTCAAGAAGACTCTTAAGTTACGGAATATGATGAACAGGATGGATAAGATCCAAAGAGTCTGACAGGATAAGAAATTAAGGAATTTAGGCATTAACATCAGCTCAAGGAATCATTGACACAATTAGGAGGTAATTAAACTTATTTCTATTTCTTCTAGCAAAAACAAACATCTTTCCAGTATACTTATAGATGCTAATGTTACGCTCCTCTTGGAAAGTGGTCTAAACTTTTCCTTTCAGGTGAGCAAAATCATTCTATGTAGATAGTAGTTGAGTTAATTAACTTTACAGGCAAGCTGCCAGAAGAGGCTAAGATTAGTATAGAAAGAGAAGTGATCCTTCATTATGTTAAGTTAATTATTCCGAAGAAATCTTATGACTTGACTAAGGTTTCTAGATATTGGTGCTAAAATGATCTGTTTGTTTTGAAGGCATATAAACGTAGTGCAGTGGTCTTCATGTATAGGCTAAGTTATATAGAAAAAATGATAATCCATTTAAATGACTTATAAACATACAAACTTTTAGTGAAGGATACGACGGAGAGTCTTAAGACTAGACTTAGGGAATCGCTTAATGTTTGGGTAAGCAATGGAGAAATTGCGAAAGTGAAAATGAATTTACTTCTTCAAAGGGATGCTGGGGCACCTTTGGCTCACGGCCTTATAAAAATACACAAGGAAGGAGTTCCTTTAAGATTGATTGCTAATAATAAGGGAAGTGTGATGCATAGGATTTCACGTTTATTCTGCAGACAATTAGGGAAAGTGGTTGAGTGTCAGAAATATTCAGTGACGAATTTATATGAATTTGCTAGCTTGATAGATCAACAGATGAGGATCTTTTGGTTAGTTTTGATGTATCAATTTATATTAATATCCTAGTTCAGAACGCCATTGAAGCACTTGCAATCAGTCTGAATGTGCACCCAGAAATTATTGAGGAAGCAAATCTAAACAAGAGCTTAATCTTAAGGCTTCTTGATCTATCCATGAGTATCACATACATCCTTAATAATAAGGTTTGTGAACAAGTGCAAGGCCTAGCAATGGGATCTTGCTTGACTCCCAGTTTAGCAAATAATTACATGTTAAGAAGACGACGGTGGATTTTCCTTGACCAGCTGTCGATTGGCTTTACTGGAACATTCATGTTGACGCTGTTTCCTAGGTAATCTCCTTCGATTCCGGTGAAAAGGTGCTAAGCTTTTGTTCGTCATATGACGAACATCATCAGAGCAAGATTTCATCGTCACTCACTCGGAATGGATTATATTTTACACTGATACGAATAGGCCTCGTGACTTCATTAATTTGTGCATAGTCTTGTCTCGAAAAGTATTTTCGTCTATAGTGAACTGCAGTTTCTACCTTTTCTGGGTCTCTTTAGCATTGACAACGGGAATCTAATCCAGATAGCGAAATGTGCCTTTTCGATATGATAAAATTACTTCAAATTTTCATTGATTCCAGACAGTCACAGGATGCCTTACTCTTAAGGCAAGCTGTGCCATATCACAGTTGTAGAATTTTCTATGAAACAAACTTGTACATTTGAATTAAAATCTCTTGTGTTGCTTACATTCTCAGTTAGTTGGCTTTGACATTATGAGAAGTTAGTGAATGAAAATGTTATCGTCTAAACATGTAATTTATTAATATTTGTCACTTAGTCGATCGGCATTCAACCATCGACTTATCTATGATATAATATGATATCTATGATATATAAGAGATTTGACTTGTCTTGTTCCAACGCCTGCCATCTAGCATTGTGGTAAAATACCTGTACAGCACGACGACTAGGGTTCATTTCTAATTAAGCATATAGGTAAGACCTGGACGAGATTGTGACTGTAATTCTTTCATTAGGAGAATAGCCCAAGGAAAGGAAACATTGAAATTCAGTGATATCGTACTGCCTACTCATATAAATTTTGAAAATGTCAACCCAAGGTGACCAGGACTCTATTCTACTGAAAACGTACACTTTGTCCTATTTAAGTGGACCTTAATTCTCGCCCTCATGACCTCCATAATTTTCAAGAGTTGTGAAATAAATTTGTTGACTCTCGTTTATTTCATTGTTGAAATTCTAATATTTCCTATTTGTTTTATAATAATGCATATATTTTTGTTTCTACGGCGACTAAACTAGGTAATATTTGTTTATTTAAAATGAACAAGTAAATAGAATAGATACGTGAGTTAGTTTGAGCGGAACTTTTTCAAATATTTTTTTCTGAAATTGTGCGAGTTGTATTTACTATAGTCATTTGCTGTATATATTTTGACCCATAGTAAGTTTGGCTTATGTATATGATGAGACTAAAGCCATGACTAGTTATTTGCCTGCAATTATAAATGTTTTATATTCTCCCTAACGATTCTTTTGTGATATTTTTATCATTATGCGCCAATAATTTACTATTTGTAAATACTCTGATCTTCCTATATGCTTTTATCTTGTTCCATTAATAAATCTGACTGAAGCTGACTAAAATGGGCACTCTTATGTCCGCTTTTCCTCTGGAACCCCGGTGGTCCCGTGTTCTAATCTCGGCCACTCATTTGCACTGCCTTGTCGATGTCATCACTGTCATCAGTATGCTATTCGTTGCTCCAGTCTTCTATACTCCAAATAGGACCAAAAGTGAACGACTTTCTGATGTGAGCTACACATTTGATTTCAAGCTTTTAAGTTTATATTATTTATTATTGATGCCGATTTATGAAATGTGTTTTTATCATAATTACTCATGGCTGAGATACAGGCATTTGAATCAATCATTTCTATTATCGTAGCAAGCTTTCTAGTTCATCTGTCAGATTGGTAAATTTGCTAAGACCTATACTTGCAAATATATTCAAATCGCATATGTTGGCAAAACTGCTCATCCTTTTGTCGATGAAAAAAATACTTTATTGTGAGAAACTCAATTATTTCGTTAATTACAATTAAAATGTCTTGGGCAAAATTATCCATTGACCTTTTTGGGTATCCTACCTGTTTCATAGCAGCGAGTCTCTAAAACGGTTAATGTTCAAGGAAATAAGTGAGCTTTGGACCGGATTGTTTGAGATTGTTTAACCAAATATGGACAATGACGGCTTGCTTGAAGAAAATGTTGTAAGTAACATGAAGCTTTCATCCAATATTAATAGGAGAGAGGAGGATAAATCCTCTTTGCTTAATTCTA